GCACATGGGAAGTGGAAATATACATTGGATGTAACAATTCAAAATGTATTGCACAACACATCTGAATATAGTAGGTAGATTCAGGTTACTGTCTGTGTTTGGGCAAAGTGAGCAGTTTTAAAGTGACTGTGACAAACATTGCATGTTAGCAAGATTACACCAAAACTACTGAACCAGTTTTATTGAAACTTGGTGGAAGTGATGTACAGTATATGGGCCAAGAAATAACCCTCTCACATTTCATTTTAGATTCGATCCAGGATTTTTACCCACTTTCTTCAGCAGTGTGTTAACATTTTTGTGAACTTCTCAAGTAATAATGCAGAGATCCTACTGGTCCTTGACAGAGGTATTTGCTCCATTCTAGTTTGGAAAAAATGCAGTTGCACCTATGGTCTGTGGACTGCTATTTAGAGGCAAAGGAAAGCTGTTTTGCTTTTCAACGACAGAAACCTGGTCTGAAGTCAATGTTGCAATATTTAGTTATTAGATAGTTACATGTGTCTACATGGGTGTGTGCTCAAATAAGGTTCAATCACAAAACTGTTTCCTCGGCAGAGAAAATAGGAAATTCTTCTGGATTTTAGAGAGGACGGGAAATGGCATTCAGGGGATTTACTGCATTTTACAACTAAAACACACTATAGATCGATTAAGAGACTAAGTACAACTTTTGAACCAGCTGGAGCAGCAACCTTTTTTTCTTTCTAAAAGTTCAACCCTAACATATCAAATTGAGAATCAAAGACATCTACAAGCCTGCTTTGTAGAACAGATCCAAAGTTGAACTAAAGTTTGAAGATTTTGAATTAGATATATTTTGCAGAAACTGCATAGTTCATAATAATTCATATCTAATAGATATCACCTAGTTTAGAAACTATACAGCAAACAAAAGTCGCTGTGGTTTGGTCCCTTCATGTTGTTTGAGAAACTTTTAAATCCTGACCAGAGCACAATGCAGAGGTAAACAAAATCCTGTTTATCAATTTTAAGAAAATGATTTAATGTTGTTCTATATAATGTTCCACACAACTCGCAATGACAAACTGCAAAGCGGCTGTCATCGTTGGCAGTTTGCATGTTTGAATGGCTCACAGAAGTAATGAAAGCTCGAGGAGGCACAGCCAGAGGTGTCACTGAAATGCTAATGAAACGAAGGGATCACCCGTTATACTGTCACAGCTCATGTGCTGCAGCGACTTCAGGAAATCAAATCAATCAGTCAATCAGTCTTCATTTGTGTAACACTTTTCATACAAAATTGTAACACAATGTGCTTTACATAATAACACCCCCCCAGCGTCTAAACCTCTTGAATGTGACTCACATTGCAATAAAAATTAAATCGGGTAAGATAAAAAAATAAAACATTAGTAGAATAATGAGGTGGGATGATTTTTTTACCAAGAAGCAAATCAGATTAAATTGTATGAACAAAGACATAAAATCAATTTAAATTCAGACTAAAGAGGGAGGTTTTATAAAAACTGTCCGACCAGAAGACCTGAGCTTTTTAGAAGGTTCACAGAGCAAAAGCAAGTCTGATTTATAGATAAGAACATTAAGGGCTTTACAAACCAGTAAAGAGATCTTGATATCTACTCTGAAGCAGACAGGTAGCCTGAGCAGAGACTTTAAAATTGTAATGCTTTCTCTCTTTTTGGTCTTAGTCAGCACATGTGAAGCTGAGTACTGAAGCAGTTGAAGGTGAAATATATTTTTTCTTAGGGAGACGAGAAAGCCAAGCATTACAATAGTCCATCCTGCAGGTAATAAAAATGCTTAGTCAGAAACGGTCGCACTCCGGCAATGTTCTTCAGAAGATATAACACATTCTAAGTTTGAGTACTTTGAAGTATCTGCTGGTGGCTTGGGTGAAAAACTTTTGAATGCTTTTTTGATATTTTCTTTTTACTAAGCCCTAATGTAGGCCTGTGGCGCTAAACAGATTAGACAATGAAAGTTACGATAAAAATGTATTCTGTTTCTTATGCAAGTAAATGTATAACCTGTCAATTGTAGGGATTCCAAGTAATGTACATTTGAAATGAAAGTGATTAAAAGGGTATTTTTGTGAAGATTTAATATCGCAATGGGAAGATGTGAGAAGAGGAATGATGGACACAGCATAAAGAGAGGAGAACCTTGAGTAAAGTATATTATAAGATTCATTATTCATTATCATTAACGTTATAAAAATGTCATTATTCATATTATTATGATTATCAGAGTCCTTCTAGTGTCTCTAGCCCAATTTGCAATTTGAAACTCTCTAACTCTAACTCTCAGTTATGAACAGTGTGTTGAAGAAAATATTCAAGTGCGTGAGAGGACACAGATTATGTTTGTGAAACCATTCACTGGAATCATTTGGAAGCATGTTACAATCTTCAGCCTGTGTGACAATCATGAAGTGAAAAGGGGATTAAGTGACCATCCCCACTGGGCAAATGCCTTTGGATAGAAAAAGAGGTTTTGTCTAAGCATACTGGAGTTAAATAAAGTGGAGAATAGCCTCTGTGGTGCGTTAGTACCACGTGAATCCACAACACTGCAGGATACTGGACTGACTTATCCTCATCACCTGATCACTGTGGGCTGAGGTTTTTTGTGAAGTCGTCTCTCAGGCTCATGTTAGTGCTGCACTGAGCTCTATTAGCTAATGTCAGTCTTGGGGTACAACAATGGATCCTATTAAAACAAGAACATCCTGCATACACAGACTGTCCAGGTGCTGCACTGGGCTCTCGCTGCTCATTTCCCGTTTTAATAACATCACGTTATTAGCTATGTAACCTCACCCATACTATCAGATGATGAATATATTTCCATCATGATCATGGATGCAGCCTGATGGCACAGAAGTACATCTTATCTCAAGCCATAGATGACAACAGACTGCTGTATGGCACGGAACAACGTTTAAAACTATCCAGACACATTTTAGCTCAGAATCAGATGTCATCTCCGTACCTACTAACACACCTGAATACACCTGAACATTCACAT